AAAAAATTATATTTCAATAAAAATTTTCCCGTATGCAAGCCTTCTTTAAAACCAATTTGTACACTTGGTATACTTTGAGTTTGCAAAAAAAAATAGTTGTCTTTTTTTTATCACCATTAGAAGTCTACAATTCAAACTTTAATTAGAAATTTTGATTCTGTGATTTTAAACAAAGTCTCCGGCTCCTACTCCAATGAAAACTCCCGACTTCACAGCTCTGCTTTAAACAGGAACCGTTTACCACAATAAAATTTTGCATTTCATGAATCTATTACAATTCTTACAATCAAATTATAAAGTGTACACACGGATCATTTACGGATCATATCATTGTTATTGTGAAAATAAATCACTTTTATCAGGAATAAATGGACCAATTCAATTTCAATTTTACAGTATTTAAACATGGAATTACTTTTTGACAATTATCTCTGAGTTCTATGGGACTCAATATTCCGCCCCAGAATTGTGCCACATTTTGCTTATTGCATCCAGTTAGACTAGCCTGCCATCTTTTCGACTTTCTATGAAATTCGCATTGGCTACTGCTGTACTGGGGTTATTAAGTTGACCTTGGTGGCAACTGGCATTGATTTCAACAGAATTAACTTCTATTTTGAAAACCATAATCCTTACCTTTGTAACGAATTCAGCAGGAGTTGTATTTCTGTCGAAATATATGGAACGTCAAATATGAGTTAATTTGACTGGAAAACCGCCATACAATGTACGTAATAGCCATCTTGTGTATTCGTATAACTTTCGATACCATTCTGGAAAAATGAGATTTTGATATGAATGATTATCAAAGAAAAACGTCAAAAAACCCAAAGAAAAACGTCAGAAAACTCTGTAATGAGCAATTTGCATTCTTGTGAGTGCAAAATATATTTCTGGTATTATAATCAGGGGCGTGCCCAGGGGGTCATTTTGCGGGTTGGACCCCCATTTTGCGGGTTGGACCCTCATTTTGCGGGTTGGATACCCATTTTGCGGGTTGGACCCCCTCCCTTTGAATGTAAAAAAAATAAAAAATAAAAACATTTTTTTGTATCATACAAAGTAATTTTTTCTATTGCTTGAAACTTTTTTTATACCCTCATGTCTTAAGGCTCCTGAAAACCCACATTTTTCGCCCGACCGGACCCGCTAGCCAGTTGTGGCCTAAGAAATATTAGACCCCACTTAACGGCCCTGAATATAATTTGAAATCTATTTACAACGATTGTCGGCATAGAGGAGGACGTGGCTGTCAGTGCGGCGAACGTTTTTCGGTCCTGCGGGATTTATAAACTGGCACTTCCCCGGGACCGAATGGGCTCACCTATGGATTTTGGAAGAGCATTGTCCAACGGGGTGAAATTCTCTCCAAGTTCTTCGAAATCTGCAGGATTTCCCGGCGTATTTTAAGTTCATGGCGTTCCACCAGAATAATTCTCATTTCTAAGGACCTGAAGGGCAATATGAATGACGTCGGGAATTGGAGACCCATTGCAATCTGCCGCACGCCGTATAAAATCTATGCAGCCGTGATTGCACGTCGTCTTCAGTCTTGGCAGCTAGGGGAAAAGTATTTTCCCAAAAACAGAAGGGCTTCGTTCTTTCCGAAGGGGTATTCGCGCAAGTTTTCATGCTTGTTTCGGTCATTGCGGATGCCAAGAAACATGAGCTTAATCTTTATGTGGCGTGGCTTGACATCCGTTATGCTTTTGGGTCGGTAAGGCATGGTGCCATTCTTGAAGTCCTGCGACATTTTGGTGCACCGTGGTACATGTTGGAAACAATTGCTGACGTTTACAGGGATAACGTGTCCACCATTCGAACTATGAATTAGGATTTAGTATATTCGTTGGCGCGACCTCGAGCGGCTGGACGCGAGCATCCGTTGTCTGATGTGAACCGTTTTTCGAAAACTAGTCCGGACCTGTCAGCCGTTTTTTCATATCACGGCTGCGGTCGGAGATCTGGGCGTCCCGAATATTGCCCTCAAAGCGGCTGGGCGAGGTTGTGGCGAGGTTTTATCGAGTCCAGGAGAAGACGCAGGCCCTGATAATCGACTTTCTCAATTGTGATAACTCCTCTAAGCTAGATGGACGCCGCATTGGCCCGTGTGGAGGCTCTTCGTGCTTTGGGTGTGACCGGGAGTGGTGCTACGAAGGTCTACCTAACTGCGTTAGGAACTCCATCCAAGGATCACATCGCGTCTGGAGGGCCTGGTGTGGACTTCATGACAGTGTTAAATTCCACTAGTAGATTATCTATGCACTTTGAGCCCTTTGCTCATTAAATCTAGTTCAATGATATCGCGGCCTGGATTAGTTTGTTTGTATTTCACTTTTTCCCAACTACTTGCCTCCACAAACTCACAATCGGAGATGGGCTTGGGCCCACTTAGATGCCATATATATATATATATATATATATATATATGTTAGTATATATCCCTTGTCTTAGTTATCCCAATTTTGATTTGCAGTTATTGCACACTTTTTTTCCACGGGGGTTAATTAGCTTGATCGTTTTCTTTTTAATCAGATAATTTATCAAACTTTCCCACATTATTGATTCCAAATTTCACCCCGGTTGACAGGAAAAGGCGAGCAACTGAGATTCATCCGGCCGCAAACAGCTCGCATAACGTTTTAATTGTTACGTCATGCAGATCTCTGCGTTCATTGTTCCAATGTTGCCGAAAAAGCAGAGAATGTAGGACAGATCGTAGCACATATTTTTGTAGTAAAAGCACCTTTTTCGTAAAAAGTGCAATTTTTGGAAATGGTAACAAGGCATTATTTGTTACTTAATTTCTAAGAACATTGAAAAAAAAAATTTCCAAGTAGTTCTCTACTTCTCTTATGTGCGCTACGAAACTGAAAGATAAACGGCCTCGTCTCGCGGGCTATTCGATTAGCTGCAAAATAGCTGAACAGCGGAAATACGACAAAGACCTATCCCAATTTAGGCCTTCCGTATCAAGATGTTGATATTTTTTCCATTACATCTGCACTTTTTTCAGTAGTTCTTAAAGGAGTGCAAAACAATTTCCGTTTTCAAAATTTCATAATATTCATGAATATGTCGCACAAAATTAAATGAGAGCATAACGCCACTGCATTAAAAATCATTATCCTCTTCGCCTTCACTTACTTATGTGGACACGGGTTTAGTATACTTGTTCAAATCAAGACGAGTATGTGAACCAAAATGGCGGACACCGGAACGTAGTATGTGTATCAGGTTAGGGTTAGTCCATAAATCCAGGTACAAATACTACGGGATTGACTTGGCTAGTTGCCAAACTAGTAATAGGACTAAAATGAAGAATATTGTCATTAAATTATGGCTTAACCCTAATCTGGTACTGTGATACACATTTCACATACTCCGGGAGTACCCAACTTGATGTGCAAGATCACATAAGATAAATCAGTAAGCTATTTCGTACGCGAGGAGTGGCAGCTATTAAAAATGTTGTCTGGATAGCTCTATTTATGCTATGTTCTTCTATTGTGTTTCCGGTTTGGAAATGGGGGTCCGCAGTTACTTCAGAGGCACAATAAAGTTTGAGAACCACTTCCCTAAGATGTGTTAAAATATAAATGCCAAAACAAGAGTAAACCAAAAATAAAAGTTTTCTCGAGTCTGATATATTTGAATATATATACGGTATATATATGTTTACTCGCTCATTGTCGTATCATTTACGGACCAACATCAATTTTTTATTAAAGAAATGAAACAGATAAATTCACTTGTTTTACCAACATAGAAAAGGAGATTTTTATATGACATGTTACTGTCTAAATACATGTGATGTATTCAATGAGAAAATATTATGTTGTTCAAACTTCGCAATCATGTCAGCAAAACGTGACTTACTAAGTATTTTTAATTTATTTTGATAAAAATGAATTAAATAAAAACTCATTTCTGCCTCCCGGCAACCCTCAGGAGAGAATAAATAGCATCTTATCACGAATAATCTAACCATATGTATCATGAAACAAACTACTTTCACAATTAAGTTGTAGAATATCAGATCATGAGTTATTATGCAATCGAACAATTTATTTTTTAAGGAATTACTATGCAGTAAAAATATACAATTAATGCTCCATATATATGTATTCTTCCTCCTGCTTTTTTGGAGGTATGATCAAAAGTGTAGATATATGGCACGAATAACGCAAATTTTCGGATTTGAAAACAAATTTTGAGACATCTCCATTGGCTATACTCTGAAAACAACCACTTCGAAGCAAAAAGCAAGTGAGTTTGAAGGAATACTGACATTTTAAATTTAAAATGCTCTTACGAATTTAATACATGTACAAACAAAAGAATATGGTTATGGTGAAAGTCAAAAGTACGTAGGGAGTTACAGTTCTTTTGAGTGGATGGGAAACCCCAGATTCCGCACAAGATTATTTATGCTAAATTCTCGGAGGAGTTATCAGCATGACTACAATGTCAGCATAGTTATAGTCATGTTTGTATCTTATATTTATTAAGTTGCGGTTGGTCTAAACTCTAATAGGTTCACACAAAGCCTTTTTCGTCATGTTAGTGTGGTATAACCCTAAGGTATAAGACAATTAAAAAATTTTTAAGCCCTTTGAAGTCCAATCCATACGTTGAAGTTGCGGGAAAAGTCTATTATTAACTGGGAAAACCTACTTTATTTTAAAACAACATTTTTAAGAACAACCTTGCGATTGTAATCTGGCAGTCAACTGACAAAAATAGAATCGATTTTGCCTCTGGACTGTTTATGATAAAAAACGTTATAAATAGATCTCAAGTATTTAGACTATTATCAAATTTATTAATCAATACGTCACTCACGATATTTGAGTTAATGAAAAAATTGTAAAAAAAATAATGAACGAATAAATGAAGAAAATGTAACAACAATATAGTCTGTGTAACTTATATAAAGACGATGAATTTGAGTACATTCAATCAACACGTTCTTTTGACAAAGTCGAGTCAGGCTAATAGTAGAGAAGATAAAATAAAGCCTGTTTGGTTCATACATTTGAATATTACCGTGCCCAAGGTCAAATCCGGGATAAAAGATCCTAGTTTATTATTGCTAATTTAAACTACAAAATCAGTGTAAAGTTGTCAGATAAATTTCGGCCGAATCAAAACGCAAATAAAAATTATTGTTTTGTTGCGTATTTTTTCAAAGTTGTGATGAGACATAAATTGGTGAACACACATCTAATTATATATATTGACAGAATTTGTGTTTATTTATTATGTAGATAATTTACGCTTATCCATTAGTTCACGTGAACATTATTTAGAAAATACAGTAAGAATGTTCAAGTATTTGTTGTCGTCGGTGTTCGTCTGTTTGATGGTTGGAATTTCTGTTAAAGGTAAGTGATAGGTTTTTGCATTTATAATATAGTTTCGATGATTAAATAAAGTGTCTAATAATATTTATTTAGATTTACTTGGTTATTGGATATTAACTCGGAAGGAACGTGCACTTTTTTTATTCCTGCTTTTATTTTTTTTAACTAATGTAAGTTATTGCTATTACATTTACATAACATGCGATAACAAGGACAGTAAATGTCCGACCTGGAAATTTTTTTGTTGAGGCAACGATTATGCGAACAAAAATTGCTTGTGGAAACTGCCCCCAACTACAACATGCGGCTATGAGTATTGGATTAGAAAATTTTAGTGACTTTTTTGTTGTTTGTTCCCGCTTTATAACATTTTGTTTAGTTCAGAAAAATGGGATTTAAAAGACACTGAACGTATTTTAGTATTTCATTATGAAACCCGAACAGTTTTCGTAAAATAACCGTCAGCAAATCGTAAAACCCCTTGGACCAGTTTTTTTTCAAACGCGCCAACGCTGATTTGCTGATTTCTAGAGATTATGTAAACTCCGTAGAACCAAATTGGAGACCCATGGATCAATATTACTTTTGCTTAGCATGTGATGACAAAGACAAAGACCCGAGATGTCCCAAATGGAAATTTCTTTGCGGAAAAGGTAACGCTTACGTAGACACTAATTGTAAGAAGACATGCGATGCCTGCCCAACAACTGGAGGAGGTGGTGGGGGAGACGGGGGAGGAGGTGGAGGTACCAGTGAGTATTGTCATCAGAAAAATTAATAATAGTTTGTAAAAGTCTTGTAATTCATGTAAATATTAAGTACTATTTGTTTGCAAAATGATTCAGTAAAATCTTTTTCAATTTCCAAGTGCTGTTGCGTGTTCTGCTTCACTGCAAAAATAAAATGGAAATTATAAATGTTTTGATGCAGCGTGGTCTGTATGCTCAAAAACATGCGGTATGGGAACAAGGTTCAAAGAGGTGTGTCAAGGCAGCAGCTGTTCAAAACAATGGGAAGCATGCGAGATACAAGACTGCCCAAAAGCAAGTAAGTACCATCACAAATACGATTTATGATTGATTCCAATATATATATATATATGTTATTCACCAATTTTACGTTTTTACTCAATTGAATTGCTGATAGCCTGCAACTCTTATAATGATGAAATCCAACGAGAGGGGATACCACATGCCTGCTGCACCGAGGATTTATATTCTGAGTGTGGAAAACAATTCACCAACACACAAAAAGTGCTACAAGGAGATTCTGCAATATTCAAAAAATACCCTTGGATTGTAATTATTTTTATATATTTGTTGCTGTTTTCTTTATTATGCTTTTCTATATATATATAATTTCCAACAGTCACAAAGAAACAACGAAGCTTTATCTGCTTAAAAGCTATAAAGAACCGAACGATTATATATTTATGCCATAAGACGTGAGATATCCGATTAAGTTGATTAGCTTCAACTCTTAACTTAACAATATTGTTGTTGTTTATATTTTCCTTCCTATTGTCATAAATAGAATAGCTTTCCTTATTAACTACTGAACTGAATCAAGGATTCCAAGTGGTTGAAGATTGTATTTTCAACTAGAAAACTATTAATATATATTTATTTCAAAAACTTCTGTGGGCTCTATGGGATTCGTTTGTTGGGTGCTATGAAGTCATCAAAAACTGAGCATCTTGTGGCGTTTTCACGATCGCGTTAGTCGTGTAGATTGCTGCATCGACAGTCTACTGTGACAGATTGTATACCCTTGCGGTATAACTCCGTTTTGGTTTTCGAGTCCATATATTTTTCGTATAGTTTCTTAATATTATTTATTTATAAAGGTGGCAATCAATGCAACTGTACCATTTGTTAGAAACAAACATTACTGCGCTGGAGCCTTGGTGTCTACGAAGCACGTTGTTACAGCAGCCCATTGTCTTGCGTGAGTATTTACTATGGATACATTCATTGTTGGTGGAGCAATTTCCTCCATGTTGCAAAATGGCGGTGTTCAACTAGTAAGATTTTATGAAACATTATTAATATAACACTTAAGAACGCCTTATACTAAAAACATTTTGTCTAAAACCAGTCTTATCTAAAAGGTAAATACAAATGAGCAGCGACTATGAACGTCAGAAAATGATTATATAGCGCAGGGATCGGCAACCTTTAGGATTGAAAGAGCAATTTGGAATTCTTTCCATCAACTTCAAACCTACTCGCAGCCGCAACACCTCAGTGGTTATTGAACCTTTTAGATAACCAATTATGGTGTAATAAGCTGGTTCTTACTAAAAAATCCAAATGAAATAAGAATGGTACAATAATTCATTCTATGTCAAAGTGAAAACAACTTGTAAAATGAATAAAAAATGTTATGGCAGATTTGAATCACATTACTGCAACACATTTTTACCCTCCGCGACCTACACTGGTAACAGCTGTGTGTAATTAGTGAAGTTAATTTGGCTCATACCTCCACCTTTCATTAAATCCTCACCGCTTCTAAAAACTACTCTAACCTATTTGCTTTACGGAAGTCAGAGCTCCGAGAACAAAGCGCCCCGTGCGGCTTCAGAACCGCTGGCATAGTGGAGAACGCTGATATTCTTATGCTATAATATATCTTCACAGAAATCGCGATACTGGAAAAGCGTATCCTTTGAATTCGTTTCTGCTCAGTTTTGGACTTCTACGATTGTCGGATTCTCCAATGGCTACCAGGACGGTAAAGAATATGTATTTCTGGCCACGAAAAACAAGTTATAATATTGGCAAAGTATTCGACTATCCTCGTCATGATATAGCCGTTATTGAGGTAGGTCAATATCGATTGAAAGAATTACATTTCAATTAGGAGCCAAATAGAATTATACTCACATGTATAAATATTACTATTTGGAAAATCTAGGTGGACGAGATGATTTCCTTTGAGCCTAGAGTTTAATAACTTCTCTCGATATAATTTTACTTACATTTTTGCAAATTGACTTTGGTTTAACTATTTTTCTTGTTGTTGTTGTTGTTTGCCGTTTGCTGTATATATTTCTCCTGATATGCCTTTTCTGTATAAATTTCTTCTCGATTGTTTTTCTTTAAATTAATTCATTATATATTTTGCAAGGTTGCGTTCACTGTGAAGTTTTCCAATAATTTATGGGTTATAGTCAAAATATGTTCTACTACAACTATTGCATAGTAATATTTCTGAGAGTTATTTTTTTACAATAAACCAGTAACAGAATAATAGTTGCCGCTGCTTAGACCTAACGAGGCCCTTCGCGACTTCTGTCGAACAACTAACGCCATTAATCTATTTATACTCTGTGCCAATTTTAGTGCATTTGTTTTTTGTGACGACAAATAAAAGATTAGCTGACTAACTAGTCCGGCAAGTAACATGAGTGGTTCAGGTTTCATATCTTCATTTATTTTAAGACACCTTAGAATCAGATTTCATTTTCTTCATACAGCTTTCGCAACCGGTGACAATATCCTCCAATATTTATCCCATCTGTCTTCCGCACGGGGAAATCACCCCTAAAGATACAACAGGGTTAATTGCAGGCTGGGGAATAAGTAAGTATTATGTTTTTATGTTTATGATTGTAATACTCATTTGCTTCTACAGTGTTAAAAACACTACCCATTCCCTGTTAGTCGATTGTTAGTAGAATCGCACAGACTTGACAAAACTAGTACTGCGCCCAACCTGCAATGCTTTTCTATCATTCATACTGAAGTTATCTTTGATGGTGTATGGATGGTGCCGGAAATGTTTAGTTTCACATCACCCCCATGTAATGCTCAATACCAACCTGTGTTTGCCTCCCTGTTGGTACTTATTGATTCAAGTGTGTCGTGACTCCTATTTTTTTGAAGCGTTTCATGAACTATTTTCAGATTCTGCGAATGGAAGACTCAGCCAAACTCATTTGCAAGAAGCTGCTGTTCAAAATTTGGATATTGACATTTGTCGTGTTGGTTATGCAAAGCATGAATCAATAATACCTAAGGAAGTCAGTTATGCGCAAACAAGTAATGATATATTGTGTGCGGGAAGCATTCATAAAGTAGTAAATACATGCCGGGTAAGGATCTATTTCAAAGTATGAATGAAAATCCATATTTCATATATTACCAACTAACGTGAAAATATTCACGGTTCATAATGTTACCAGACAGATCCTGTTTCTCCCGACTGTTGCTATTGTTCAATTCTTTTTATTTTTAAAATTATAATTTCCAGGGTGACAGTGGCGGACCTTTGATGTTCCAAAGATGTGAAAGCTGTAGTTGGTATTTGGGTGGAATTGTGTCTTTTGGTCATCCAGATTGCACAAAAAAAATACCCGGCGCTTACACAAAAGTTTTGTCTTACGAAAAATGGATAAGAGAAATTATCAAAGTAGCACCGGATAACTTTTATTGTTCTAAAAAGGTCGGACCGTAAATTTTATCCAACCTTGAGACGGATATATTGTGAATATTATTTGTGTCTTTCTTGTGATAGTACTATTGATAATATTTTCAAGATATGTAGAATGAAGATCCAACATCAGCAATGCATTTTTTATGCGCATATATATATATATATATATATATATATATATAATAGTTTGAAATTAGGTAACTCATCGTATCATATTATTGCTAGCCACGTGAGGCTGCTTAGATTCAAAATTTGCAGTAAGTACATATTCAACTCTACGTTCATGTATATACACAAACTTACATATACTAGGTGTTATGTCATTCTAATTAAATTGACGCTATTGTAATAAAATGCTTTTAAAACTAACATTAGACTGATATCCTCTTCTATGTGACACGGGCAGGTGTTGTCTGGAGAAAGTGTATTTTGTAAAAAAAAGAGTGTGTATTGTAAAATAAGATTACGACGGGATATTCACGACACTTATGGTGAAATCTGAGTTTCAGAATAAAATTTCTACTGGGGCCAACATAATTATGGGAAACTATATACGTAGAAGCAAAGCAATGTGCGCAATGGCATAGGTAATATTTATTGTCTCTCGTCCTACCAGACGACCAACCGGATCTGTTACGCACACTCAGTTTTAACGTAAATGCATGATATAAAGCGAAGAGCCCAGAAGCATTCTTGCACATGGTCGTTTGACACAAAATTAGACTCCCTTTGAGATACTTCAGGGTGTGCCACAATATATTGACATAAGCTTCCCAGCGTCTCACAAACCCTGATGCTTTACTGATATTGACTTGAAAATTCTTTAAATAAACGATTTTATTCATTATAATTTTACTTTTGAACGTTAGAGTAAGATATTTCGACTACATTGCAAATATGTTTTTTGCTTGATATACGTCTGTTCGAGTAGCGTCAGATTAGATTTTTAGTTTTTATATTGGCGTAATCTAAAGACTCTCAAGACTCACGGCTTACGGGTTTTGAATAAAAACAGCTAGTTTTGCTGATAACGGGTTACCATCATTTATTTACTTTGTCACGTTCCATAAAAAGCAAACAAACGAAAGTGGAAGATTAAAATGATTACAGTTGAAGAATTAAATAAATCTCAACGAATCTTCAAATTAATAAATTCAGTACAAAGAGTGTTCTTGCACTCACCCGTGGAGATCTCTCAAATCCATCGCATTTTTTTAATTTTGTATTTTTGGACGCCAGGTCAAAAAAAGATGTTGCGAAATGAACGAGAATGACATAGGCCTTCTTGCTTAATAATTCTTGGTATAAATCAGAGAAAAACAAACAAAAACCAGATTTGTCAGTTCCGTTTCCAAATGCCAGATTTAATTGCATTCGAGACTTTAAACTCTGCTAACTATTTTGCTACTTCGGCATTCGAACCAATATCAATTTGATCTGCGATGCAAGTCTCTTCAAAGCTACATAGCGAACCGAGAACAGCTTTCTGGCCCCAAGTGGTGCCGAGACGCTGTTTGTGGAACCACGTATTATATACTCTTGGTTGCTTGCGATTTTTTTATTAGTATTGTATTCTTATTTGTGCGTTTAGCATATTTAACAATACAAAATATTTGTGATTTCTAAATTTTGCAAGGCAGCGATAGACTATCAGCCATGTATGCAGTTTGGCCTGAGATCAAATAGATAATAACATTATCCAATCCACACTTGGGCCGATCACTCAAATCGTTTTTCTTTTACCTCATTTTCGTATTTGCACTTCGAGTCCAGATTTTTGGGTCGTTTTGAAAATATGTATAATTTGAGATTGAGTAGTGCATTGAAAATTGCACTATTTCCTCTAGGCTATTCCAAGTGACACTACAAGACAATTCCAGAAATTTTGCATGTTGTTGGATGCAATATATTTTCACATTTCCAGCTACATGTTTTGTTTCATTGTCCAATCAGTTGCTTTATTGAATATGTAAAAAATTGCACAAAAGTTACACCCAACACTTACTTAATAGATAAAAAAAAATATAGTAAAATATAGCGTGACACTACAGGGCGGCAAATCCACCATGTACTAACAGTACGTTGTGTTATGCTGTAAATTTTTGCGATGGTACAGTGGGAGCACATAATATTTTCTGGTGCAGTAGCTGAACTACCCCTCTATGTGTTGCTCAAGTTACTCAATGTAACACTATAAATCCATGCCAATAATGTGCATATTGTATGTGACACTACAGGACGTGACACCACAGAACATTTTTCCATTGCGGAATAGCGGCCTCTATCATCTCTTAAAATTCCGGTAATAAATCGTTAAATGGGTGAAGAAATGTCCTACAGCACTGCAAACATTCAAACTTTATTAACTTAAATCCAGTGCGTCAATTCCATATGAAATAACTGTACCACACGATCAAACACTTTGTGTCAGGAATCATCACAAAATATGTCAATTATACCAAAATTTCTACATTTCAGGCCATTTTTTATAAACTATCAAAAACCTGGGTGAAATTTTATATTGTTCGATGAAATGAATGCAGTCCAATAAATTTCCAATGTCTTTTGATATCAAAAATAAAAAAAAATTACTTTCACTACACTTTTTAAAAAATTGATGGAATTCAACTTTTGCTTGGAATGGCCCCTCTAATCAATTAAAATTATCTGAGCAAACATCGGCTCATTACTAAGAATCTACTAAACATAAGTAATGAATTGATATTTCCTAATTTGCAAAAATAAGAAAAGAATTAACACTCATATATCGGAAGTATAAATATTTAAGGGATGGGAAAACGAATTTGACTTTCGTTGCCGATCCGCCAAACCGTTTATGACTGCAAGAAGCAATTCTATCAATAAAATAATATTCGATTATTCTTTCGATTGGAAAATTGAGCTATAATAAATAACACATATACTAGTATCTAAGCATTAAATAAACGAGACCAAATATTGAGTTTAGCAAAACATTGCAGGGTATCGGAAATATTTTCCTATCAGTCTATGTCAAAAATCAAAGTTCAGATATTTTTCCAACGATCATCCTTAGAACGTCAGTGATTCTGTGATAGAAATTAGGATGATAAAAATGTATTAATAAAAAAAACGGATATAGTCAAATGTATTCACGAAAAAAACGGCTGTTTAACATTACATGTCAATATTCTATCATATATCAACTATATTCAACTTTTGAGTTATCAAAAGTATTGCATTTTTTGTCAAACAATTCAAAAATAGTACATGGCATCCCATTTTGGATTTCCCATTCAATCAATACATACAATCGTTACAGCATTAGAATTCTTGATAAGTGAATTTTATAACATTCACTTCATTGGTTTTGTGTATTAAAGAAATTCGTCTTTGAATACAATAATAGTTTGTTGTACGACAAGAAACAAGTTATTACGCAAAACAATTTTCTCGCGTAAGTAATACCACAATAGGGTGGTTGCACGTACGTCAATATACCGCTGTCTGAACCTCAAAAACTAAAACAACAAACATATTTGGCGTCATTCGCATCAATATTGTGGAAAAGGATCTGTATTAGAACTCTCAAGTCTCACACTTGAACTATAGTTTATAAATCCTCCCGTTGTATCCGAAGTAAAAACGCATAAAAAATAAAATTCCATAATTTATAGGTTTCTTCAACTTTTTTCGATAATAAAATTATTTTTCAGCTAAAGTCAAATAATCAAGTTAGTTTCATAACGCTAATTCTGTTCTATTTATATGCTTTCGATTGCATCAAGTATGATATTATTTACTCATAAGCGAAATGTTAAATGATTTTAAATAAAATCAACTAAATATCAATCATCAGAGATTATAGACAATCATGATCAGATTATACATATGACTAATACTGATAGAAAATAATAATCTGGCAATTATAATCTAGTAAATAGGAACGAACATGTATTGTCTTGACTGACCAGATGAAGAACATCCAAATATGACCGCTTGCTGATTCATGCGAAACTTGTAAAAACACCTAATTTTATTTTATTTTATTATTCTAACCGATTACCCTCTAGGACAGTGGTTCTCAACCTTTTTGTGATTGCGGACCCTTCTGGTGCTCTCAAAGCCGTCGCGGACCCCTCAAAAGTTTTTTATTTGAAATTATATAATAAACAGCAACCTAATGTTCCGGAAAGATTAAGCCAAGTCAAAAATAACACCAAACTAGTGGATATTTTCATCTATTTTGTCTAATTAAATACACTTAATGGGATTTCTGCTGTTGCATATCAGAAGCAAGTCTTGAAATACGTGGTCGTGTTTTTGATAACGATAGACGTCTTCGACGATTAGTTGGTTGCGGGACTTGGATTTGATATGAACGAGAGCAGAAAATCCACTTTCACAAAGGTAAGTGGAGGCGAATGGAACAATAATACGTAATGCTTCCATCGATACTTCTGGGTACGACGGCATGATGGCGTACCAAAACTGAGAAAGTGATGTTTCCAGAAAACATTTCACGACTGGCTGAATCATTCCTCAAATCAAGTAGATCATCTAGAATTTCCTCTGGAACAGTTGCTATATTTATCACAGGAGAAAATGGATTTCGTGGAAATGCTCGAAGTCCAACTCCTTCTGCCAGATCAGGAAAATACTTCTGGAGTTCTTTTTCAAGTGATTGTAAATGCTCACTAATTTTCTGTTTCATTTGTTCAACTAAATTTCAAATAAAAAACTTTTGAGGGGTCCGCGACCGCTTTGAAAGCAACAGAAGGGTCCGCAAAGACTAGAGACTAGACAAGTTTTATATAGCCTTGAGGACTTTTTTAACAAGTCAGCAAACCAATATTTCCACGAAATTTGTATGCTGTCACTAATAGAGCCACGACAGATAATCAATAACAAATACTGTGTCATAAAATTGAACCACTAAGCTGAAATAACCGATTACTAAAAAAAAACAATTTTTTGTTCAAAAGCACAATATTTTATCTATATTTTAGTGCAATGTTCGATTTTTACGTCAGTATTAAAACATTATTGAAAATGTTGACGGCATTTATCCATGGAACTGATCGTTAAAATAAAAAAATGCGTCACAGATTTTGCAATATCTAAAATTTAGGATGCATACAACGATTTCAAGTGATCGTGCAGTTCAGCTGGTCTGAAATAGTCCTACTTTAATCGATTCTTCGAAATGTTTTTCTTATTAGATAACACAGGAAAGGCAAATAAAATCTTTAATTGTTATTCTGCATGTTTTGTTGTTGCTGGAACGCCACGGGCATAAATTTCGAGTTCTTTTCGTTTAAAAACGACATCGCAGTTGAAGAAGATTACAACTCATATTATGCGGACATGTGACGACTTGTTACAGAGTG